AGGAAGGAAGGAAGGAAAGGAAGGAAGGAAAGGAAGGAAGGAAGAAAGAAAAGAAAGAAACAAAAGAAAGAAACGAAAGAAAGAAAGAAAGAAAGAAAGAAAGAAAGAAAGAAAGAGAAGGAAGGAAAGAAAGAAAAAGAAAGAAGGAAGGAAGGAAGGAAAGAAAGAAAGAAAGAAAGAAAGAAAGAAAGAAAGAAAGAAAGAGAAAGAAAGAATATCACAGGAGCACCTGAGTAGCTCAGTCGGTTAAGCGTCTGACTTCAGCTCAGGTCATGATCTCACAGTTTGTGGGTTCGAGCCCCACGTCAGGCTCTCTGCTGACAGCACAAAGCCCACTTCGGATCCTTTGTCCCCCTCTCTCTCTGGCCCTCCGCTGCTCGCTCACTCTCAAAAATAAATAAACATTTTTATTAAATCCCTGAAATTTTCCACTAGAAAATCAAGTACAATTACTATACATGAGCCAGGTAGTTGGGGGAGCCCTTTTATCCTCTTTTCAAAATAGTGCAACATGCATTTATAGGCAGCATTGTAAAATATCCCAGTTCTTTAGAACTTGACAGTTATCTGTAAATGTATAGGCAAAGGCCCCCGTGTCAGCTGTCTTGCACAACAAAATGGTTACCATTAATCAGAAATCAAGGTAATGAAGGCTCGGATAAATGGAACGGTACTCTGGATCCATTTGGTCTCAAGCCCTAGACGAGGCAAAAACAGAAAGCGTTTGCCTGGAATGAAAATCCCTGGCTTCTGAGAACCGAGAGGAACAGGACAAAAGGGCATGATGGGCCCTCAAGGCCTCTTTGAAGAAATGAATGCTAAATGCCAAATTCGGGAGCAGTTTAGAGGAGGGGGAGACAATGCCCTTAAAACTGTAGCAAGAAGGGAAGTCAAGGACCTTGGCTTTGAAGGCGGGCAGAATGAGAAGAAGGAAAGGTTGGTAGGAGTGGTGGGGGCAGGGGGAACCTTCAGGAATAGGAAACTTTTCCAAACTGTTCTAGTAGCTGGATATGTTGGGCCTACCCTAACTTTTTTGTTTCAGCGGGGATTTTTTTCCTGCTTTTTTTTTTTTTT